AGGACCACAAAATGATTGTTGCACCTATCCTTGGTAATAATTGAGAACAGGCGCTCCTGCAGATGACTGCGGTCCTCCAGATCCCTGCTGCCTTGTCAGATAGATGAGGCCCCCAGGAACTCCCCCTCAAGGAGCTTCCTCAGCACTTTAAAGGGTTCTCCTTCTGTCCTCGCCCCAAAATGCTGCTGTTCGGCAGCCTGAGCCGCCTGCTGCTTTCCTCTCTCCTGAGACCGCTCAAGTTCATCACGCGGATGGTTCTCCCACTTGCCCCCCTCGGGTGGGTGCGCTCCCTTCATTACAGGTACCCAGCGCCGAGCTACATGCCCACAGCAGCTTGATCGGGGATGGTCCCTTCTCTGCTTTGTGTTGATGGGCTGTGGGAGGCCCTCTCCGTCCTGCAAGGCCATGGCAAACAGCAATGGCCCTCAGTTAGAGAGTGGAAGCCGAGAGCAGCACGTGGAACATCCCAATAGCGGTAAAACGAAATCAGTGGCAAGTTAAATTGCAAAAAAGAGGGGCTCTTGGGAAAAGCGGGGGTTATTCTCGCTCTGGTGCAGTTGGTCAAGCAAGATGTGGTCGGTTGTAAAAAAACTGACCCATTCTGTGGTGTTTTGAGCTGCTAATAATGGACCTAATGCTGCTGCCATTGAATAAACACCCAACTCTCCATTGCCTTCGAGATGAATAACTTGAGCTAATTAACAGCTTCAGAAGCTCAAGCCATTAAGTGGGGTTCTCCGCTGCTCTGAGCAGAGAGGAAAGTGTCCAGGAGCTTCTTATTCCTCAGTCTGCAGCTATTTACTCTGTGACTTGACTGTCCCGTGTTTCAAGTGTATCCGTCCGCACCTCGCGGACGTGCTTTCTCCTGCCCATCACAGAGCTGGTAGGAGGCTTAATTCCTTGTTATTTGTCGAGTGGGCTCTGATTGCCAGCTGAAAGGCAGAGATTGATAGAGAAGTCCCGTGTGGTGACAGCAGCTTTGGTCTCTCGGAAAGACAGGCTTTGCTCACAGCGCGTGGGGTAAAAGGGTGAAAGACTTCAGCCAAATCCACTGGTGTTGTGATTCTTGCGTTTAATGTGACAGGGGATGAACGTAGGGGGAAAGAAAACCGGCCAATTTGTTAGGGTTCAGTGAAGTGCTAACGAGGAACAGCTCTTGGGAGAGAACTGAAGCACCTGGAAGTACGTGCCAGTGAAAGTCCTGCCCTGTGCACAGAATTAGAAATTCTTTGTTGACTGCTCTCGGTTTTGTTTTGGTTTTTTTTGAAGATTTTAAACCTCAACTGCAGTTACAAATGAAACAAAGACTGAAACAGTCTGAGACGAATGGATATAAGCAGACACAGAAATCCAGAGCGTCTGCAAAACTGTGGGGCCACTCGGAAAATGAAATGATTCCTGCCCCTGCTTTCTAACCTCGCCGCTTGCAGAGGCGTTCTTCCAAAGGGGACGCTCCCGAGCCCGCAGGCTGGAGGCGGGGGTTGCCTCCGGGATCCTCGCTTTATAAAGAGGGCAGAGAGAGTGGATTAAATCAATATTTCATTTATTTGGGCTTGTAATTCCTCTTACATCAGCTGCCACATAAAGATTTTCCCCTATTTTCTTCCCCTCCTCCTCATCCTCATTTACTATGCACCAATAATTTCCCTTTGACGCTTTCCTGCCAGTCCTAGTGCCAGATGGCCCCGGTTCTGAGCTTCTCCCCTCTCTTGGGAGCGGCCCCCATTGTCAATGCAAAGGAGGCGTCGTGGCTTTGAACCCAAAGCTGGGACCCAAACTTCAGCCCCGGCGTGAGGAGGAGCTAACCCACTAATGCAGGAAACCATGCAAACAGCACACCCTCCCACTCACCGCCATTAAGGAAAAAAACCCTTCACTAAAGGCTGTTTTGCATTTTCCCCAATGGTCCATGTATAGAAATCTGGTGCAAATTTAATTCTCTCACCACCTGATTCCACTTCCCAGCCGCGAGGTTCCCTTTGTGTCATAAACTCAATTAGACGTATGCATTTCACATCACGGACACAGATGTGAAAACAAAGTGCGCACGTACCTCGCTCTTTCTCTCTCTCTCTTTCTCTCTGTGTAGATGCGCCTACACGGGCTTTAAAGCAATAAAGAAAGTGAGTAAATCTGTTTAGGGCGCTAGCCCGCTATGCAGAACAAAGTGTCTCGGCTGCGGCGAGCGGCGCCGAGTTTCTGATTGCGTTGGGGTAGGCTGTGACATCTTGGAAGTCGATAGAGTTTCCCTGGGTCGGGGCTGGGTGACAGGGAGCCGCTCCCCCGCTTCGTTTCGGAGCAGCGTGGGGAGGGTCTTTGTGCGTGGTTTGGGTGCGTGCCCGGCACGCCGGTGCATTAGCTGTAGGTGCTGAGGAATTTTCCAGCCACACGAGTTGGCAGGGAATGAAAGGAGCGGGTATTAATTTCTCGGTGTACTGCTCAGAACAGGGGGCACGTAATCGCAAAGATTGACATCGAACCGTGTTTCTGTGTGCCACACAGCATGCAGCCCTGCCTTTTAAAAAAAAATAGCCGAGTTTCTCTCCCTGGCTTGACTTTTCTACATTTTGTGTCCATTTGGGTTTGGAGAGGGACACAAGAGGTTTCGGCATTGAGCGGAGAGTTAAATTATGCAGCTGCAAGACTGCCAAGCCCTTCAGAATAGGATGCTTCGTTTAGATTTTCCACAATGCTATTGAAGTGCTTATTTTCCTCCTGAAGAGACACAAACAGATGCAAACTTCTGTAAACACTTTAGAAATGAATTCAGTGAGTTTGGCCTCTCAGCAGTGCTCAATAGCTGACAGAAAAATGTCTAATTAGTGCAAGTGGAAATAATAGGGCCACTTGGATTCCTTCCATCCTCCTCCAAGTCTACTTTTCCTAGGAACTCAAAGGCCCTTTTGTTTGGTAGGTCACCCTCTCTCAGGCTTTTGTGCTCCGATCTATTAAAGGAAGAAGGGGAGGAAAAAAAAATAGATTAGGCGATGCTCTGTGCTTAAATATATGGCCTGTTGATGAGCATTTCGAATGGCTGGTTTGCAGTGTCAGTTTACAGGTGCTTGGAGAGGGGGATTCCTCCATTGTTGGCCGGCACAAGCGGAGTTGTGTGCGCTCGGCTCCAGGAATCCTTTTCGAGTGCCATCCTCTTAGAAAATCCAACTCGGGCTCAGGAAAAAAAAAGGAAACTTGTACAAATCCGCCTCGCTGAAGTGCAAACAAGCTAGCAAATGCTTGCAACAGATCAGTGCTGCAAGCCGGCCTTCGTGCCCTGTACTCTAGACTCTTCACCGATCGGTCTGACGCGGGCTTTCTCCCGCACACCTCAGTCGGTGGTTACGCTGCTCAAAATCAAGAAGGAGTCGTCTTGTCAGATTGTGGGGCTCTGAGCTAAAAGCAGAGAGAACAGAGGCTGGGGAGGAGTCCAAGAAGCCTGAGCGGTCTCTAAAGCAGTTTGTGGACATTGCTGCCTCTCCGGCTCCGCCTGCGCGTTTACACAAGGAAGGCAAGGGAAGGAGGCTGGTGCTAAGACAAAAATGGGAGATAGCTGCCAAACTTGATGTCTTAGTGGGGATTTGGACAAAGTTTTCCTGGCAGTCTCTCATCCCCTGATGGTGCCTGATGATCCTCAATCCCCTGCGTTGCTTTTACTCTGTCGTGAGTGGAGTTACTCGCCGACGTGAATGAGATGAGAAACGCATCCTTTTTCTGAGGAGGCTTTGTATGGTTTAAGGTGTTCTCTTGTTTTTTCTTCCCTCCTGTGATTGACCACACCGCAAAGCAGTACTCGACCGTTGCCGGCTCCCAGGTGTTCGAGCCAGGCTGGGCAGCAGGAGGCCGGGCTCTCCGTAGGCAGCGTGAGGCTGCTGAACGGCTGGTGGCCGTGAAGACCAGACAGGTCAGGGCACCCACGAGGCTCCGTAGCTGAAGAGATGGGTCTTTCCTTACAGCCGATGGCTGTGTTTCAGGCAGATGTTCCAGGGAAACAATGACTGGATGCCATCCTCCCCATCCTGCGTGACAAACATGTAAAAAGGGAATCGCCTGGATGTCAGCCTGTGGAGCACCTCCTTGCTCCACCGGGCAGGAGTACCAACCCCTGCCCACCATGGGAAGGGGTCGGTTTTTGGTAGATGTCCCCAGTCCCCTGTGGACTTCTGCAGCTGCGATGAGGCTGTGTGCCTCCTCATGGCTATCTTTGCTGGCCTCCTGTCCTCATAACAGCATGCTATCTCAGGAGCTCCGGCTGATTCCTCGTGTCGGTGTGATGGCTCAACCGCTACGGGAATCCAAGAGAGTTGATACAGACTTAGTAGTCATTAAAGATGACCTGCAGGGGAAAAAGATCGGACTTCTGGCCTGTTTGCTTGATTGTGGGAGTGGATGGCTTGAGCTCCATCTGGGACAATGGCTATAGCGACCATTTCCAGTCTTTCCAGACTCATGTCCCCCTTTTAAACTAATTGTTATTACTGCTAGTAATTTGTTGGGCATGATTTAAGTTTGTTAGCAGACCACCAAATTATGCGGTTCAAAATACTGAACAACAATTAGAAGGACCAAAAAAAATCAGGAATTATATCTATGGCTGAAACAAAATAAACAGCTGGAACCTTCCTATCTGAAAAATAAAAATATGATCAGGAATAATCATAATTATAGGTTATAATAAATACTATCTGATCACTGCCACAAAGACTTTCTCCATTATATAAATGCCTAGGAACATAAAGATTATAAGGTGAGTAGAAATTTTGAGACAGCCTTTTAATTGCTAGTGAATATTTGCTTCTCGTAATGTTCAGTACTTCACTTGCTGTAAAACTGTGTAGCCAGCTTACAGAAAATAACTAGGGATATCCCATCTGTTCTAAAACGGTACGTAGGCAGCACCGTTAGGCAGAGGGTTATTAAGCTGAATATTTTCCGTAGACAGTTCACTGAGCCTTTGCGAGGCGAGTTTCTCCAAGGCTGCCCCGTGGCACTCGTGTTCTTCTCAGGTTTATTTGAAGGCCTCCATCATGGTCAAGGACTGCGTAACGGCAACTGCTATTGTGTTCCTGATTGACCGGTTCCTGTATTGGATCGATGCCTCCAGCAAACTTCTTCAGATTGCCAAGGGTCTGCACAGGCTGCAGCCCACCACGCCGATCAGTCCTCAGGTGCTCATCCGCCAGGCTCGCCTCTGCGTCAACACAGGTACCGCGCCGTTTTCTCAGCTCAAGCCCAATTAGGAACTACTTGACTTTGAAGAATACGCTCTGTCCCTTGCTGGGGATGACATGCTTACGGCCCCCGTGCCATCTTTTCAAACACACAGCCCACTCCCAGCCCCCTTGAGCCCTCCCAGCTCCTCTCACTAGCACAAAGGGGCTGGTATAAAGGGTTTCAGAGCCAAAAGCAGGAGAGAAAATTGTGAAAGGGTGTGGAAAATACTAATTGGAGCTTTTGTTCCTTAACAAATCTTCCCTGCTGGTTTCAAACAGGGATATCTGAATTGCTATACTTCTGACCAAGGGCCTTTAAAAAGTAAATTAGAATCCCGGCATTTTCTCTGCACTGTCCCAGCTGCTTTTTTTTTTTTTTTCAGTGGGACCACTTGACTATGCAAACAATGCAGCTTACAACTCCTCGAGGATAAACTGATTTTTTTTTTAAAAAAAATTCCATCATTACTATAACGTGGGCCAACACCTGAAGGATTTTTAATGTATCTTCCCACTGTCCCACTGGGGAGAAGAAAAGAAAGCCAGACAAACCTGCTCTGAAAAACCCGTTTGAGGAATATTTTATTTGCAGAAAAGAGAACTATAAGTTCCCTGCATAGCTATTTTTATTTGTGGCTGTGGACTTCTCGTGCTCCCATTGCCACGGTGTCTGGGTACTACTGGCACACTCCAGCTGATGGGCTAGTTCAGCCAAAGCTTACACTGCTTACACAGGCTGGAGCAGCCTTCTTGAAGTCAGCCGGACAATTGAGACAAAAAGCAAGGTTCAACATGAATCAAGCCGATCAAATTAGACCTTAAGGTGTCTCCTGCAGCCCCTCAAGCCTGCCACGGGTGACTCCGGCCATGCGACAAAACCTCTGAGCCGTATGACAGGGGGCTGAAAGGCAGAATCCCCACCTTGTGTTGCATGCTGCATCCTTTCTGTGTATTTTTTGGCTATATATACTGTGCTTAAGATGGTTCTTAAAAGCTAGGTAGAGTGACTGGAAGGCAGCATAGCCTGTGGCTTCGCTTTCTGTGGCGGGACGTCAAGTCAGTGGGCTTTGAGGTGCATCTGCAGAGCTTTCTCTCCTGGTGAACTCCCCAATGAGACCAAAATGGGTTTCCAAAACCAGTGTTTCCTTGGGACAGAAACCGGCAGCTCTGCTGCTGAAGGAAGCAGGCTAGACTACTTTATTCTGCAAGAAAAACAAGAGCAGGGAATCCCAGCCGGTGGGGTGGCCAGCAGCTCAGTGCCTGCCCCGATCTTGTTGCGCCTCCCCTGCTCTGAATCCTGCAGCAGCCCAAGGCATGGGAAGGAGCCGAGCGAGAAATGAGTGCCTGGAGCCACTTGCCTTGGCTTGGGTTTACCGTAAAACCAACGTGCAGCCTAAGCCTCCCTAAGGAGAGGTATCTGTTGTCTTCTCCTTGCGGTCGGTTTACTGAAACCGCACTGTAGAGCGTAGAGAGCATGCACAGAAGTTCAACAGAAATACCGGAGCTTGACATGAGGAAGCCTTTCTCACATTTTAAGATTAAGCACTCTTCCAGGAACGTATGGTGTGTTAAGTAAAACAGATATATATGTAATTTCATCTTACTGTGCAACCACATATTATAAAATGTAGTGCATGTACCTTTATGACTGTTGACAGCAACAAATCTATGTGCAGGGATGTATCAGGTTAAATATCATACGGCTTCTCGATGAGACTTTTGGAAGCAAGTGTCTGGCTAGAAACAGTTGCCTCATCAGCATTTTCTGCAATATTTGTTGTATATGTGAGATAGCCTGTGTCAGAGATTCCTGAGCATGAGGTAGTATCTGCAGCGCATACTTAATTGGAAAGTTTAGTCTAAGACAGTGCTGGGAAGAAGAGTAAAATTTGCAGGGGCTTTCACTGATGAATATTTTTGTTCACTTCATGCCACATGATAAATTTTTATATTCGTTTTCTATCTTTTTTTTTTTTTTTTTTTTTAATCAGGTAAACTTTTAAAAGCTGAATATATCCTAAGCAGCCTTATTAATGACAATGGAGCAACAGGTACGTATATATTTCTTTTCCAATTTCATAGTTGGTATTTTGGTGGGATTTTTGATACTAATTTAAACAGTTACAAAAGCTTCAAATACAGCCAATCTGACCTCAGCCTTACATCACGTTTCTCTTTTCTTCGACATTCTTCACTAAAATGTGGAAACTGCAACTTTATTTTGAAATTGCCATAATTCATCCTTGTATATCTTCACTTGGGTGGGAAAATACTCTGGATTGGTAGCCTTCCTACTAATTTCTCTGCCCAGAGAATTTTAAAATGTGGACCAATTTCAAGCAATTGACTGCTCTAGAAAACTAAGACAACGCCCTCCCCCCAAAAAAGTGCAGATTAAGAGTAATGCTTATCCTCCAAATTCACACTGATCCGATAAACTACATGAATACTTTATTCTAGACCTGCAGCAGACTGCAATGCAATTATTTAGTATCTTTTGGGGTTAAGAAAAAAAGAGAGTGAGTCCTGGTTCTTACAGCACTTTCTTCCATTGCTGGGTAGATGTGCAAAACTCTAAAAATGGGACCGTTCCTTAATGCATGAGGACATTTGTAGAAATTACTTTTTTTTTTTCCTTTCGGTCAAACGACTATACTGCTGGTCGTGTGGCTTGTTTCAGATCTGGAGGGATGTGTAGTATTTCTAACGGTAAGAATTCATTCGTTTTGACAGGCATCCATAATTATTTAGTTATGTTTTTGAGACAATATATTTTTAGGTTTTATATGTGTTTTCTGTTTTCTTAGCCTTCAAGGTTTATTTAGTCAATACGTTCAGGTTTCTCTGCAACCATGAAACTCGGAAAATTTAAGAAGCCTGGTCTGGGTGTTGTTGGTTTGTTTTTCACGTGAAACTGAGATTCTCATGCAAGAAGGGCCTTCGTGCAAGAGGGCTTTAAACAAAATGCCAGCTATCACTATTAAAATAGAACTGGCTATGCAAAACACTGCATTTCATCTGTCTTGGGATTATGCTTTTCTTTTAAGATTATTTTTGTAATATTCAATGATAATACTTGTTTAACATTGAAGATGTGTTGTTGAACAGATGATTCATGCAGTGAAATGTTCACAATACTTAGGAAAGCTTAGTGGTTTTATTTCGTATTCTATTCTGAAATCCAGTGTAGATTTGATAATGAAAGACTTTGTGTAACTAATCATACTGTGTTAACACGAAAACTTTTGTTTTAATCTTCATGAGATACTGATATCTGAAAAGAAAACATGTTTTGCCAACGGTTAGAAGTATTTTGCTCTGCTGTATATACTGGTAACAACAAAGATATCCCATATTAATCCTTTTGACTGGTTTTTAGTGGAACTCTGTACAACGTTTCTATACAGTGACTTCTTTTACTTCACAGAAGAGAGGTACCTCTCGCTTTTTAGATTGTTTTTATGCTCTATATGGCTGTCACTGAAGCTACATACCCATATAGCTGTCTACTTATAATCCTTAATGCACTGTCCCTTTGTCATCTCTCTGGCTGTAAGTCCTGACTCAAACCAGCTGAATTCAATGGGGGGAATCCTGGCAATTTACTGGGATTTAGGTTATCCTCAGCGGCTTAAAATGACAGCAACATTTTTCATTCTATACTGAGTTTTTCCACTCTTTCTGTAGGTACCTGGCGATACGCTAAGGAAAGCGATAGGATTCTCGTTCAGTCGGTCTGCTTACAAATCAGAGGACAGATTCTGCAAAAGCTTGGTAAGGCTTTTTTCTGTAAACGTCTGCTCAGGGTTTTCCCCTATTTCTTTTTTTCTTTGCAGTCAAGCTTTAAAATGGTACATTTGGCATATGTCAGAGTTTTAGCTTGTGTAGGACCCCTGCCTGATGCCCCTAACGCAGCCACGGAAGATGAGTTGCACACCCGTCTCTTTGCAGCAAGGACCTAGAGCCATGTACCAAGCAAACGCATTTTAGAAATTATCTTTTTAGTACTAATCTTACCAGAAGTCGAGGAGCGTTCTGAAGCGTTGTTCCCTTTTTCCCTGTGCTACTCCATGTTTGCTAACGCTTTTTCCAAATTCGCTGTTCCCAAAGGCATGCAGTAGTTTATCACAGGTACAGCACAACTATTTCCTCTCTCAAGACAAGAAAATCCCTTGTTTTCAGCATGATGGACTTGTGTATCCAGGGCTTGGTACTTGAGGCCAACAGCCTTAATTTTATGCTTTTGATGTGACCTTTCATCTTCCGTGACTGTTGAGCTGAAGTCTTTTATGAGCCTTAAATGTGTGTTTATGCACAGCCAAAAGCTAAAGAAAACTAATAAACGTTCAGTGTCACCAAAGCGAAAAATGCCATGGTATGGTTTTATACTGTTTTGAGGGCTCCTGACTCAAGGAGGTGTAAAATAAACTGTTGACAGCCATCTGTAGCAGTAATCTGCTTAGTGACTATTTTTCTGGTTTATTTCAGGGATGTGGTATGAGGCAGCAGAGTTGATTTGGGCTTCAGTTGTGGGATTTTGCAAACTTCCTCAACCAGATAAAAAGGTAGTATTTCCTTTTCACTCTGGATATCCTTGCCAATCTAATAATCATTCCAGATTAGCTTTTGTTTACTTGAGAAAACTCTTTTAGCAATAATGTTTCAATTACACACCTCAGACAAGGCTAACATGCAGGACAAATACTCTAGCCGAAGTCTGTATTGCACATTGTTTCCGCATGCATACACAGACTTACGGACACCTTTTTTCCTGCAGGGGAATGAAAGTAATAGTTTTCATTAAGCAGAATCATCTGAAGTGAACCATCACCCAGGATGTCACAGGTGCCTCTGACAAGGACAGACTAACCCCAGAATGCAGCCGTAGATTTTATTTATTTATAACGACTAAGGCTAATTTTTTTTTTCCAAGCATGTCTATTTGCTGAGCTGCGCTACACTACCTGTTGTGGGTAATGGATGTTCCCTGGCACTGTGGTATCTGAACACCTCGCAACAGCTACCGTATCTGTCTTTAACACCTTTGTGAGGCTTGGCCGCACTAATCTTCCCACTGTAGATGAAGCAACAGTCACACCATGTGTCCGTAGCTAAACAGGAATGTGAACCTAAGTCTTGCAAGTCCTAGGGTGATGCTTTAAGAAGTTTTGTAATTGTACCCCAGCGTAAGATACACCACAAAACCAGACCTCGTCACCTCTCCTCTGCCTTAAAGCTTGACCTCAAGCTCAGAACATTTCTATGGGAGCAAAGATGTGTAGTGAATTTTGCGGAAAGTATACAGATACTTCCTGGCGTTCTTAACTGTTTAGCTGGGCAGACCCTTAGCTAGCCCTTGTATAGATCAAATCTTCCAGAGAGAGAGACAATTAGCAGGTTCATAGATCTTTATGTTACATGTTCATGTCTTATTTTTTAAGTGGTTCTGTAGAACCAATGACAAATTACCAAAAAAACCCCAATTATATCAAGACCAAGACCTCTTGACTTTTGTCCAACTCGTTTATTTGTTTTTTAAACAGTGCAATAAGCTAGGGAAGCGTGTTAAAAAAGATGCTTGTTTTCTTAGGCTATGCGTTTTGAGCATTTATGACTTCTATCATCTCTCTAGACATCTTCACCCTGGATTTTTTAGGAAGACTGGGATCAACCGGCCAGTTCTTAAACATAATTTTTGGCTTTCTGTGGTCTTTTCTGAAAAACAACGGTAAAACAGATGGAGTCCTTTTTCAGATATGATTAGCCAAGGGCTTAATGCAGCTTTTGGTGATATCACGAGACTTTGCTTTCATTGTCACAATTAGTACCTTGGGAAAATGCAGTGCTAATGGAAATGCAATGCTATTTAAGTTGAAACCTAGAGCTGGGGGTAATAGGGATAGCTGCTACTCATGGAAACTCATACATATCCACCAGGCTACACTTTCTGCAAGCTGAAATTAATAAAACCCTACCAAGATGACGTCTCTGAATTTCTTAGCAGTGCTTCTCTTTGGATCTTGTTTGTTTATTTTGTTTTTTTTCTGGTACATTCTACACAGAACCTACTTTATTGTGAGCAGTAAAATTGGAAATACAAGCAGAAAAACACTATGATCATTTTCCATTTCTCTTTCAGGGAATTGCTACTTCCTTGGGTATTATGGCAGACATCTTTGCTTCCATGAGTGAGAAAGATTATGTACGTTTTAAAACCAATGCTGAGATTGACCTGGTAAGACTTGGTTTGGTATTTGTGTGTGTAGATTCTTCAGATGGACTGTATGTTGTTGCCCCAAATTCACCCACACTTTGTTCTTCCTCCAGTTCCTCTCCTGTGCTGAGAGGGCTGAAGAAACTTCCAGTGTTGCTGGTGAAAAAGTTCATTAGCACCTAGATGGAAGAATGCCTTTCTTCAGGAAAAAGAAAACATATAAGAGTATTTACAGAGTGTGTATGTCTATGCCTGTGTAATATATAGAATATTTGTAGGGTCAAAAAATGACACATCGATGGTAAACATGAGCAAAAAGACTCCTGCAGAAACAGACCTGGCTGTTGTTGTTTAAGATATGATGACCCGCTCTATCAAGACTCAAAGGTCTCGGAGGGCTCAGGGAACCTACAACAGACAAGAAACAAATCCCAAGCTGCCTCGCTTCAATCTAACAGGGTTGCTTACCAGGTAGATCCATCTGTTTGAAAAGAAAGCCTTTGAGATGAGGTTTTCCCTCTTGTTTTTTTTATTTCACTAGGGCCTTCTCCGAGAGTTCAGTCATCGCTTATTATCAGCTGCTGAGGCCTGCAAACTAGCGACAGCCTACAGCCAGTACACCCCGCTGTTTGTCCTCACAGCCGTGGTAAGTATTAGTCTTCATTCTGAAAGTGTTATTTGTGTAAGGGAAGAGTCCAGGCTATTAAATTTGGCTCTAATCCGGCTTTCAAACGTTGCACCATACAGGATATTGTGTCTGCGTCGTGGGTATGATGCTATATGTCGCTCTGAGTTCCAATCAGAAGCTAAGCAGATGGGTGGAAAGCAGTTTCTGTCCATGGAGTATGGATGGGCTTTCAAGCCTGTCTGGCGATGCTGCTTTTCCTGTAACTACAGCTATATTTCAAAGGAAAAAGAGCAAGATTATTTCCTTCAGGAAACACAGCAGCAGGCACTTAGAGCTGACGTTTGCTTCAAATTGTATAAGGGAAAGAAACGTATTTTTTCCTCCCTTTATTCATCTCTGACAAGAGGTGCAGGTTTTTAATTCCTACATTCCTCTTTCATCCCCCCACAGAACATCCGTGGGGTGTGTTTGCTGTCCTATAGTCACTCCAAGGACTGTCCCCCAGAAAAGAGAAAGTTCTACTTGTCTGAAGCCAAAGAATCTTTTGAGATCGGCCTCCTCACCAAGAACGATGAGAGTCCCGTCACCAGCAAGCAGGAGCTCCATAGTTTTATTAAAGCAGCTTTCTGCCTCACAACCGTGCATCGATGGCTCTATGGGGAGAGTGAGAAACTCCGTGAGGTGAGTCAACTGTGTAGAGAAGCCATGGGAAAACTGCATTCCTACAGCACTTCATTTACAGAAGAGGAAGAGAAAGGAATGCTTGCCAAAGAGATCATGTCTCTGATCACATCTGTGAAGAAGCACCTGCAAGTGGAAAGCTTCCCTAATTCTGATGCCAGGTCTTACGTTCCAGACAGTTATAAAGGCACAGTGGAAAAACCTATCCTCCAAGGGGAACCCAACTTCGAAAAAATCCTTGCCGTGCATTCTCAGCATCATCTGTCAGTGTGTGAAGTGTTTGAAAGTGCTTGCAGGATTCATAAAACCGCACCAGGAGAAGCCCAAGTGGGAGCTTGTATCACAACCTTAAGAACAGAAACCAAAAACATAGACACTGTGTGTACTACTGAAGAAATAGCGAACCAGAGGAAAGGCGCTGCGAAAATGCTGAATTCACCAACAGCAGGAAGCAGCTCAGAGAGATTCAGTGGCCAAAGAAATAAATACGTTCGTTCTGATGTGATGAAAATTTCCTTCAATGAAGAGATTGAGCCATTAGAAATAGAAATAAATGATGAAAACAGTGATTTCAGCAGATGGCAAAACAGGAGTCAAAGCACTACTTCAGAGAGCTCTTGGTGCAAGCTGTCAAAATCAAGTTACTCTTCCAGCTGGGAGGAACTGAACTGTAATAGCAGCAAAGAGTCTCCCAGGGAAGGGCGGCAGCAGGAAAAGGGCTCAGCGGAGGAGCAATGTTGCACAACAGAGTCTGATGAAAATGGTCAAGCTGCATACTTGCGCTCGTTGCCTCCCGGAGCCTGGCATCCTTCTCCTCGAGAGCCTCTACATAGCTGTTGGGGTTCTCCTCAGCCTTCCTCAGAGGCAGGTACGCCCCTAGCTGGGAGGCTGGTAGAGAAGACGTCTCTTTGCGGAGAAGAGCTGCGGGAGGGAAGACACCGTGGAAAGAGCTCTTCAGAAAAGAAAGCAGGGGATGTGAACAACGCGGTTCCTTCGCTCTCCACCGCTTACTCTGTTCATACAAGGCCGGAGGAGGAGGAAGAGGAGAAGTCCTCCTCCCGGGCGGATCTGGGCTGCAGGACCAAGGACAGCGTCGGGGAGGGCGGTGGTGGCCCCGCGTCCCGGCGCCGCAGCCAGTTCGTGTGGGTCCACCCAGAAGGAGAAACTGCAGATAGCACAGAGGATCCCTCGTTTGACGCACGTCCCCCCACAAACAGGGGTGCTTCTGTAGTATCGACGAGCATCGAGCCGAAAATGGCCAGCGACTCCTCTGTGCGTGACTGGCTGAGGAAATCTGCCGTGGTGGGAAACAGATCTCTCAAAATGCCTGAAGTTGACACCCAAGCAGAAACAATAGATGACACTGAATTTGATTGCATCAGTATTGCAGACTTAGTAAACAATTGTCCTACGGCGTCTGTTCCAGAGCATCACTCAACTCCCAGTGCACCGACAGCTTTGCCCTCGAGGGGAAAGATATCCAAAACTGATCACTTCGACTGTGCCACTACTGAAGAAGATGAAGAAAAGTCTCAGGACATGGTGAGCAGCAAGAGACAATCCAGTTCATCTCTGAGTTCGTGGTACAAATCAGCAGAGATGCCCAAGAGTTCACCTGAAGGTCCATTTCTGAACCCAAGGGGAAGTGGTTTTATCTTCATGCCGGAGAGAACAAAGGAAGAAATCCTTGACGCTCGATTCCTGAGGGACGACGATTACATGCAACTTCTGGCAGGGGTAGAACGTAATTGGCTTGTCCAGAGACTGATGCCTACTGGAATTTTTGAGTCAAAACAGCTTCGTAAAGCATACAGTAAGTTTTCACACAGTGGTGGGCATTTTCACGCAGCGACAGGTACTCCCACAGAGAACAGTCTTGACTCGGGTTTTTTAACACGATGTTTTAGTCATCATTGATTAGGACTTAATTTTTTATTGCTTTTTGAGTTTTTATATAAGAATTTTAGCAATGGAAGAACACTTTCTTGAGCCATTTTCTCCTATTCTTTCTTACCCATTTGCACATCCATCACAGCTACATGGAAATGGGCTCCTCTCCAATGCCCACTCAGTCCCTCCTGCGTCAATCCCTTCACGCAAGAGGTAACTTAGGCTGCTTGAACTCCCTGTGCCAGTTCATCAAGCCCTTTCTAACCCGTTACTTGAGTGTTTGGTTTTGTTGCCCATTTAGATTCCACATTTCATCCCTGCAAACTGTATATTTAAGATAATGATGATTAAGTTAATCATCGATAACAGCCATACCTTAGTATGCAGACGCTTGATCAACGTACTAAGAAATACAGAAGCTAAGAGAACACCACTATAGGCCGCCTCATTGAGCTCATTAAGTAAAACCCACTTAGAGCAAGATTCCATCTTGCATATCTCAAGCCTGTTTAGCAATTTTTTGTCCTTAATGTAAAATATCCAACTCTGCACCTAGATACCTCTTAGCACGTATTTTATAGCCCCGTACTTTGCTTTCAGATGAGCCTGGATATCTTCTCTCCTGGGTGCTGGTTATTTCATCCGTCAGCACAGGCTTAGAGCAGTCCTGTGGAGTTGTCCATTCTACTCATGGTGTTTTCTTTTTGTAGCTGCTCTTCTTTTAAAATACTCAAAGAAATCAGGCCTCTGGACAGGCCAAGAAACGGCTGTATTCATTGGGGACTACCTGAACGTGGCAAAGGAAGGCAAACAGAGAAGCGCATTTTGGATACACTTCCTGCACCAAGAAGAAACCCTGGGAAGGTATTGACCAAACCAATTTCTGAAACAAAATGTTTATCAGTGCTACTTCTGTGTAAATATGAATGAAAACTGCCTGGTAAGATTAGTTTTATACCTATGATTCAGCTAGTCCAGTGCCTTGTTAGACAGTAGCTTTTTTTCAAGGATTTTCAGATGACAGTACAAGTTTTTACTTGGAAAACTACAGAAATCAGTCACAGTGGGAGAAGATTGTTTCTTTAGTCTGTTTCAACCTGGTTTACATTTGGTTAGATTTTGACTGATCTTCTGTAGCAAGAATGTTTGATGGCTTTCCCAAATCTCTTGGGCATTTTGGCAGTCTTTCCCATCACTCCATGTAACTCTCTACTTCTTAGTTTCTGGGAAGAAAAAGCTACTTCACTGTTGTCTTCTAACAGTCACGTTAGCTCATTTGCTCATGACAACACTTAGGCCTGACTTGACTTTTTTCTGTGCTGAGATAATCTCATGGGAACTTGAATGTTGCTTCCTTTTTATTTGACCTCTTGCTTTGCATTAGAGAATTAGAGATAGATATATATGAGAAACATATAGAGAAATATATCTCACAATACCTATAGGCAGAAAGGTGTTTCAGTTACTTTTCTTTAATTTTGGTAGCAGGTGTATGCAATGGATGCATCTGCTCTGAAAGGAGGATTAAAATCACCTATTTGCTTCATGAAGGCCTCTGCACCAGGAGAGCTCTGCTAACTGCAGATTTTGGATTGTTATTATAAGTAGCTTATGAATTATTACGGGTTAAGAAGAGTATTTTAAGTACCTCTGAGTTGGGTCTCCCTCCAGAGTAAAGAATAGTTGACTTTAAACATTCTGGTGTTATAAAACCCCCATCCTAGGTTTTGATTGATCAGTACAGCATTTTATGCCTGTAAGAGCTATAAAAGAAAAAACCCACCGCTTTAATCACTGCCTTTTTAAATGCATCACCAACAGCTGGCTTTGCTTCTGAACAGCCAAGCTCTGTTTTGTAGGGATGCTTCTGTGTCACAAGTAGGGCTTCCCAAGTGCAGTCTGCTGCAAATCTGGCTACACCAAACACTTCTCTTTTTGTTTAGGTATGTTGGGAAAGAATATAAAGAAGAAAAAGGACTACTTCATCATTTCAGTGACGTGGAACGGCAAATGACTGCCCAGTACTACGTGACGGAATTCAACAAAAGGCTATATGAGCAAAAAGTCCCTACCCAAATCTTTTATATCCCATCTGCAGTACTCCTGGTAAGAACTGTCTTCTAAGCAATACAAAGGAATTGGTGGGAAGAGTGTCTTAAGTCAACATTGATTTTAAAATACTAGCAGTTAGTTCCACCTCTAGATGACATGCTGTCATTCATGTGGTCTTACCTGGCAGCTGCATTTGCTCATTTCAGGACAGAAGACACCTACCTGCAGAGCTACAAGTTCAGGGTGAACTGGCAGAAAAGAAGCCATGTCCTTTTAGAAGTCAGAAACTCACTTGTAAATGAAGCCCAGGAGTTACCCAGCCTTTTATATCATCTAACAGTATATGAACATCTATTTTCAGGGGTAGTTATGAAGTCTGAACAGAAAAGTGACCCATTTTGAGCACCACAAAAATGTCTAAACCTCACTAGAACCCAGCAAGTGAGGTTCTTGCAGACAAGTTGATTTCCTGCAGGACAACTTTGAGGCCTTTTCTGCTGCATGATGCTGGATTTCAGGAACACGGGACTGGAAAGGACCTCCTTGTGACTCATCAGGTCCAGTGCCCTGATAAGACGGGCAACAACACTGCATAATCCCTTTTTATACTCATTAAGCCCTATCTTAAAAGCAGCCGTGTTGTATTTTGTGTTTTAACCTTCATTGCTTCCAATAAGAAACTGTTCTAGAGCTGCTGTCGTGATGTCTGGAAAACTTCTGCTATTTTCTAACCTAAAATTAGTCAATTTATATTTATTGTCTTTCTTGCAACTTCTTTGAGGCCTAGATTTAAGGAAGGAGCAGCAATAACATCCCCTCATAGCTTCTGTTCTCTAGGCTAGGGAAGCCAAGCTCGTTTTAGTGTCACCTCAAGATGCAGGTCTCTCTTCCCCTGTTCAATCCGTGAAGCCCTGAGCGTGTTGTACTTTGAATTCACAGTTCTTAAATATTAATGATCAGGCGTGAGACCCCTCCACGCCTTTCGCAGAGGCGATATAAATCCTTACCCTTAGTGAGACCTGCATTTTTCATGGCCGTATCACACTGGCAGCTCAGTCATCCTTCGAATGGCTATCCCAAAAAGCTCTCTTCCTCAACAACAGCCCCTCAGCATAGAATAGGACACCTTTAAACCACAGACACCTTTCAACCACAGTTCAATTAAGCTGCTGACACAACCTCACCACTGATCCAGTGCCTTACAGCCCGCTCCTTTTCCGCTTGTCCTTGACGGTACAACCAGTATCTGTCCACCTGTGTGGGCCGTACTCAGTCATGAGAAGGAAATGCCTGTGGCCTTCCCTGCAGCTGAGCGTACGTGGACGGGTGAAGAAAGGCTGGTGGAATTGGCAGGGCCATGAGCTTCAGCGAGGCCAGGGATCCATCAGCCACCTCTCACTGAGAAGCATTTCTGTCCCTCCATCCCGATGGTCCAGCCTCAGAGACGGGCTGCTGAGAGCCACGAGAACCAAGTGGCTGAGGGCTGGCTGGGATGTGGAGTTACCTGAGAGAGCCTGGGAGGAAGGGCCAGCAAAGTCACGAGAATTATTCTCTCTCTTGAATGGGTTGAAAAAACAAGGAGCCTGAAGCTAAAAGTTTCAAGAAAAAGCACTTTGGGGTTAGTCTCTTTAAACAGCAAAAAACAGCTGCTAAAATACCCAGCACTCAACCCAGCAACAGCCACTTTTGATCGTGGGAGATGCTTGTTTGCCCACTCAGTTCTGAACACGTGGCGTTTGAGGAGGCTGCGTTAGACATGCCCTCAAGTCTTAACGCACGGATCGTACTGGTCTTACGTGTTTCAGGTAACTGTAGCCAGGACAGCTCTTGCTTCTGCCCTCTTTCTTCTGTACGATGGTTGTGAGGACAGCATGCAAAGCCGCGAGACACATGGCCCTGCTGTGCCGGCACCTCCGCCCCCCAGCCTGATCGTTAGAGGCAGGAGCCGCATCTGGGTGACCTGGCACAGAGGTTAAAGCTGACATCCAGCCCCCAGCGGGAAAGTTAAAGGATCTTTTCTTTATTCTTACGTTTAACTGTTTGACTTGTGTTTCAACTAAGGAGAGCTACCCTCCACAGTATGGCGCTGAACTCACTGTTTCGTTATGAATAGGTATATGATAGCATGCTATGCATATTACTGCTTCTGTTAGCCATTCTGGCACTAGATCTGGCTCTATGCCATTCACTAATAAGGCCTAATGAGAGTCTGGCATCAGTACTTGCAAGTCGCTGAACATAGAAATGACTGGAAAAAAACCCAAAACCCTTCCACTGGTTATTTACACACTGAAGAAGGACCAGATGCAGGTTTACCCAAATCTTTTCAGCTTTCTAGCTTATTCTTTACACATAGTCTCCTGAAAGAAGTTTCCTATTTGCGGGACAAACTAGATATTTCTAGAATTCATTGCTCGCGGAGTTTGCCCTGTCAGGCTGACTTTGTGTTGGATCTTGTACCACCCTTTGTTCTAGTTAAATGTGAGCTCCTCATCTAAACAGCCTGTGTTTTGAATCAGCAGTGGGTTAATGTGAAGACTCTTTCCATCCATCTTATGATGGAAAGTTCTAGGAGGAAAAGACAAGACTTCAGTTAGAGGAGCTGTAGCATCCTTGTTTTCACATCCCTGTTCGCATGACTGTCATTAACACTCTCTTTTCAGATACTGGAAGACAGAACTATAAAAGGATGTGTGAGTGTGGAGCCCTACATCCTTGGTGAGTTTGTGAAGCTGTCCAATAACAAGAAGGTAGTAAAGAATGAGTACAAAGCCACAGAGTACGGTCTGGCCTACGGCCATTTCTGCTACGAGTTCTCCAACGGAACAGACGTTGTTGTTGATCTGCAAGGTTTGTATTACAGTGAACTTCATTTTTTGCGTGTCTTCTCGTGTTGCAGAATATGCTATATAAAGGACGTACTGTCTCTAAATGACGTGAAGTGAGGGAGGTACATGCAGGTACATTTTTGCCTTGAACAGTGCTCTTGTTCTCCACTGCGTCACAGCAAGAACACGTAAGCCGCGTGCTCCCAGGTGTGCCACAGCTTCACGCCATGGAGTGATCTGCACCCAATTAGACTAAATCCCCAAGTCTGCAAGGATGTGTCTTGTGGAACCATCTAAAGGAGAACCACTAAGAGAGGCAGCAGGTTTTGTCACGCTTCTTCCTTCCTAGAATTGGCAAGCTTAAAAAAAGTTCCCCTATTCAGCTAATGGAGAATTGAGCTCTTTAGTTAACAGCCAAGGATAAAACCTTTCAGACTCAACCTTTAGCACACAGGTATCTTTGGGATATTAATTTCATTAAATATTCATCACGTACCTCTTAGGGTTCTGCTTTTGCTGACATAGGTGCAAACTGGGAATCACTGAAGTGACGTTAACCGAGTGTGGGCTGTGGCAAGCGGACAGTCCTGAGTAGGATAATACAAAGGCTGTGATGTTCGATACCAAGATGTATGCCTTCTTTCACAGGTTGGGTGACAGGTAACGGGAAAGGCCTCATCTACCTCACAGACCCCCAGATTCATTCTCTTAATAGCAAGGATGTTTCACGCTCCAACTTCGGGAAGAGAGGAATTTATTACTTCTTTAATGATCAACACGTGGAGTGCAATGAAATCTGTCGCTGCCTTTCTTTAACAAGACCCTCAGTAGAGGTGCCAATGTAGACTCGCACGAGATAGTCACACAAAGAATGACCCATAAGCTGGACAGTATTTTATCCTACACACCTTTGAGATCATACTGTCTTTGTGAGAACAGAGCCACTGAGACGATACCCATGTGAGTCGGGTCAGTCATTACCTGCACGAGTTTGGCAAGTTCTGGTCTTTGCGTCCAGGCCGGTAATACCATGTTACCGTCTTGTGTACCATCTGAACCTCATGTTGTTATAAGAACATCTGTAAGAATTAACAGAAGAACATAAGAAGAGTGAAAAAACAGCCTTCCAAATTCAGCCAGAGGTGTATTACAAGACTGTATAAACTTCTAATCCATTCAGACCCAGTAAGGGCAATAGGCACCATCTGCTCTTTGGAAATGGAATATGAGATGGAGTGGGACAGAAGCAGAGAGTTGTATTTCAAATTTTCAGAAACTTGTATAAATGCTTCAGGGAACAAATGGTAATGTTTTGGTTTCAAAACAAAGTTTCTTTCAGAGGTGTGTATGTATATGTGCATATGTGACCACACAATATCTAAAAAGGTGGAAATACGGTTTTAACTGTAACAGCCCAGAAAACTCTGCTGCTCTGCAAGGAAAAAATAGTGTTCTTGAACCAAGAGATGCTTTACATGAGTAATTTAGGACTGCTACATTTAACAAACTCTCGGAGAAGAACAGTTCTCATTTACGGACAGCACATCTCTTCTGCCTGTAATGAAACTGTGAGCACCACAGATTTGGTGACAATTCTGTAACTAATTCCCCCAAATAAGCTCACTGGACA